TTGTTCTAAATTATTCTATTCCTCTTGCGTGGCGGAGTGCTGCTAAAGTTTGAGCATTATGTTTCCTAACTTTTCGTTCTAACACATTCCATAAATGCTCTATAGGATTTATATCTGGACTCATAGCTGATCACAAGAAAAAATAGTCCGTTTTGTAACACTTTTTTTAAAACACTATAACTTTGTCAAAAAAAATCGTAAAAAAGTGATCAAAAAATGGATTTGTTAGGAAATCAATACAGATTGAAAACTCATAAATTTTTATGCCAGACAGCCGACTTCCCTAAGCAGCGCAATAATTTAAAGAAAAAATTTCTGTCCTATTTTTCTAAATCTGTCTTCAATGTCTGCCATTTTATAAAGCATTTCTGGAACTCAATTTTGGTTTTCTTAGTTATCAAGGAAAATGTTCAAGCTTTATTTTGAGCTTAGATTTATCTCGATACGATAATTTTTCATAAAGTTACCGCTATTGGAAGATATTAAAAATTTGAGGTTAATTTAAGTGCTCGGTTTTTCTGCGGGTGAGTATATATATTGAAAAATTAATTATTACTATTATTGTTTCCGACGTTTATAAAAATTTTTATTTCCTCTTGGTTGACTTCAAGATTATTTCGGATAAATTTTACTAAACACATTTTTATTATAAAACTTCTTCTTAATATATATTTTACTAAAAAAAATTGATACTTTATGTGGTATTTTTTTCAGGTAGCAGTTTTCGTTTAACATTATTAACATTATAATCTTTTGTAATCAACAAGTATGTCGAAACATGTTCTTTACTATGAGTAACAAGAGACCTACACAATTAAGGTGCACAATAGCTACAGTATAGAGAACATTATTCAAACATTTTGACTCTCTTTGGATCACTTTCCACCCAAAAACTAGACGGAAATAAAATAAATATAAATAATAAAATAATAAAATAAATTTTTTTTATTTTTCGACGCCTACAGGCATCTCTATGCTGTAGTTATTGTGCACCTTGTGTGGGTCCCTTATAAGAGAAAAAGAACAGGAATAAAGTAACGATTGAAGAAATGAAAGAGAATTAAAGAGTAAATGGAAAATTGCAATAATAAGTGAGAAAAAGTCTGCATGTGTATGCATATATGTGGCAGTTGGCACGTAAACAATAAGCAAACCAAATATATATACACTTCTCAACAAAATTAAAGCATCACTTACTCTACTCTCCAAAAATAGGCAAAATTCAAGAGAATGTAATTTCGTCAAAAATGATCGTATCGAGATGTTCAAAAAAGCATTTTACAGCTTGAAAT